TTTATGTTTTTAATAAACTAAGTCCTTTGATAGGGTCCAGAGACACCAAGCTGAATGAGACTCAAAGCTTCCTTCAATATTGCCTCACACCATAGTAAAGTGAAATATAATCACATTGAAGACCTTTATATTTTTAAAAATCCAAATAAAAAGCAACAAATACTAAATATGCTTTTAAAATGTCATTTTTCACTTCAAAATCTTCTAGGTCGATTAAACTGATAGAGATGGTTATTAGAATATTTGCCCTAAGTTTCTCTTTTTTCATGAAAAGATTCACTTGGAAAGAAAAGAGATATATCAAAATGCTTTTTGCTGTTATTTCACATTAAACTGTGATTCATAACCCTCCTGCAGTGTCCAGATGACTGGAGGAAATAGACCTATATATTGAACACATGGGGAGTCTCCAACTGAGAATTTCCCTGAAGGAAGTAAATGTGTAGATACATTTTCCTGCTCATACCAGGGCACTCACAGAGTCATTTCATAATTGACAGTGACAGTAAGATGGAATTCATGTGGAGGATTCTACAAAGCACTGAGACTGCCTAGAATGTATGTACAGGTGCTTAACTTGGATAGCATGCAGAGCAGCAATTGATCTCTAGGGTGCCTGAAAGACACCTCTATAGGCAATTGAATTGGTATCATTTTGGGTTGAAATAAAAATAAATCTAGCTAAGAAGAGAGTCTGATTTTGATTTGACTTTCTCGAACTCATTCTTGGCAATTAAGACTATCTTTTGACAGTGTGCTTTTTAAAAACTGATACATAAAATTGGACACATATAAGGGGCACCATGTGCTCTTTTCATATATGCATACATTGTATAATTTTCAAATTGGAATAACATGAATATGTCCTTAAACATTCATTATTTCTTTATCGTGAAAACAATCAAAATCCTTTCTTCTTGATTTTTTAAAAATATACACTACATTCATTTTTATCTATCGTCACCTTAGCACACAGTAGAACATCAGAACTTTTTTCTCCTAACTGTAACTAAGAATCCATTGATAGATCTTTCCCTGTCTCCCCATTTCCACACTCTCCAGCCTCTAGAAACCTACATTCTCTCAAATTCTATGAGATCAACATTTTTAAATTTCACATATGAGTGAGATCTTGGGGTAGTTTTTTATTTCTTATTGTGTGTGTGTGTGTGTGTGTGTGTGTGTGTGTGTGTGTGTGCTTGGCTTATTTCACTTAATATAGTGATTTTCAATTCCAATCATGTTGTCACAAAATGGCAGGATTTAATTCTTTTTATTGTTGACTAGTGTTCCATTGTGTATATGGACCACATTTTCTTAATCCATTCATCAGGTGATGGACAAGTTGGTTGTTTCCATTTCTTGGCTGTTGTGAATAGTGCTAGAATAAACATGGGAGTGCAGATATCTCTTTGACATATTGATTTCATTTCCATTGAGTATGTGCATGAATATATATATATAAATATAATATATATGTCTGTGTGTATATATTTATAAATTTATAGATCATACGGTAGTTCTATTTTAATTTTAATTTTATTAATTTATTTAATTTGTCAATACTGGAAATTGAACCCAGGTATACTTTACCACTAAGCTACATCCCTAGGCCTTTTTAGTTTTTATTTTGAAATGGGGTCTTGTCCTCCTGCCTCAGCCTCCTGAGTCACTGGGATTATAGGCATGCATTACTGTTCTCAGTTGGTAGTTCTATTTTTAATTTTTGAAGAACATATATTCTGTTTTCCACAATGGGTATACTAATTTATGTCCCCATCAACAATGCGCAAGGGTTTCCTTTTCTCAACACCCTCACCAGCATATTTTATCTCTAGTCTTGTTGATAAATAGTCATTATTACTGGGATGAGGTGATATTTCATTGAGGTTTGAATTTTTATTTATTTGATGATTAATAATGTTGAACATTTCTCATATATCTGGTCTTCCCTTAAGAATGTCTGTTTAAACCTATTACCCATTTTTTAATCAAACTGTTTTCATTGAATTATGAGTTCTTTACATGTTCTGCTATTAACCCCTTGCAGTTTGCAAATGTTTTCTCTCAAATGTAGTTGTCCTTCTCTTTACTTTTTTATGTATTAAGCAATATCCTATGTACTTATATAGGATTAACTCTTTCAATACTTATGTATGTCTTGGGGAGGTAGGTATAATTATTTCCACTTCATATATACATTGAAATAAAGCTCAGTTAAGTAAATAGAACCTTTACAAAACTAGATACATTTCTAGTGTAATATATTAATAATTAGGAAATAAAGAACTGTGGAGAAGAATAATGAGTAGAAATTATTTAATTCTTAGTTATATCATGATTTGTTATAAAGATGATTTATTCCCACAAGAAGGTGATATTCTTCAAAAACATGCCAGAAATACAATTATTATCAGCCAATGAATATCCCACTGGGAAATTTTATAGTATTATGAATCATTTTCTCACTTTATATTTATAGATTATCATTCAATTAGGCAAAGTAACACAACAAAAACTGGGAGAACATCTGTAAGTTAGAGTTAGAAATCATAAGGATATTTTAGGCCCAATAGGTAAGTAAATTCTAGTATATATTCCTAGAGACATTTATAAAATTTTGCATATATATATGAGAAAATTAATTAGAATTTCTGGCAATGCTTTACATATAATCTTAGAAGATTATAGAGATACTAGAAGATCACTTGATTTTCCTTTAAAGCACTGTGTGATTCTATTGTGGTATATTCTCCAGGATTATAAACCTCAGTAAATATTTTTATGTGTTGTATACTATTCACAAATTCTTAATTACATTTTGCATATATTAATTTAAATGCATTGTTCTCCTTTGTTTTATATGCTGTTAGTTATTTTAAGATTTATAAAATTATGATATAAGTCAATATAAGTTCCAAATATTGCATTATTTTAATGACACAGGCAGAAATATTATAATATATTGCAAATGGAGACTGATTTTTAGGGTAGGCGTATGAAATTAGCATTTCAGTCACATTCAGAATATATCTTAATTAGTTATTCACTGTGTTCTCTTTTTTTTCCAACATCATGGGTTTATTAAGGTTTTACTTGGCTTCAAAAATACCTCTTATTTTAATAAATGGAAACTTAAACAACTCTTGTGCATTTTCTCTATCAGTGGTTTAAAAATATTTTAGAAACAGAATCACTTTTGAGGAAAAATCTTATTCAGAATATTAGTTTGTTATTTGGGGAAAAAAAGTAATACATTTAAATTTGGCACGATACAGTACATGATGTTTCACTATAATATGAATTAATGTCATGGTGGAATATAATTGACATTAAACAGATTCACCCTGAATACATCACATGCACTTCTAAATATTTTCCATTGCATTGTGTTTTCATGTTTGAGATATATATGTAAATATAAAGATGTTTAGTCATATTTCAGGGAATATTAAGTGCACTTTGCACACTTGGATTTAAACTGTTGTTACAAATTCTATAGCAAGCTGAGATATTTTGCTATGAAAGCATTTTTTCCACCAAATAAATCCTCTTTAAACAAACATTTTCTTCATGTAGCAACTGCTCCCACCAATGATACTCTCTCTCTCTCTCTCTCTCTCTCTCTCTCTCTCTCTCTCTCTAAATATATATATATATATATATATATAAAATTAAGAGCCCAAATTATTTATAAACTGTTTTCTCTATTTTATCAGCACAGATGTTTTAATGTGCTTTGCTAGTTATTACTCTGGTGAACCACGTACTTGGCCTCAGTAAACAGTCTACATCTTTAAAAATGCCCAAATTTATATGTGACCACAGCTTTGTCTAGAGTGTATAACAAAGTAAGACACAGTTGTCTGTGTTTGTACCTTTGCATATATTACACTGAGCAAAACATGTTTAAGAAATTTGAAACAGTTATCTACAAATACAGGGATGGTAGCATTATTAATTTGTACTTAGGCATCTCGTCTCTGGAAAAGCAAGGGAAGCTGCATAACCTTGGCTTGAGATACTATTTAATGAATGTACTTTGGTTATCTTTAAAAACAACAGTAAGAAATTTTATCAAGCTGGGTATGGTGGTATATGCCTGTAATCCTAGCTACTTGAGGGGCTCAAGCAAGAAGTATCTCAAGTTGAAGGCCAGCCTGGGCATCTTAGCAAGACCTGGTCTCAAACTAAAAAAAAAAAAAAAAAAAAAAAATAGAAAGAGAAATGGCAGTGATTCAATCCTCAGTATTACTGAGGGGGAAAAAAACAAATACTTTTTTTTAAAATCAGAAATCATTGATGTGCTCTTTCTCTCACTTGGGTTGGAGTCTGGTCTCAAAAAATAGAAAGGGAAGGGGAAGTGGTTCAATCCTTAGTACCACTGAGGGGGAAAACAAACAAACAAACCTTTTTTTTAAATCATAAATTATTGATGTGTTCTTCTCCTCACTTGGGTTGGAGAAGAGGTGACTACTCATCTTACCTATGGTATTTAGCATTAAAAGTTATTGAAGCCTGGATGTGAAGCACACCTGTAATCCCAGTGGCTCCAGAGGCTGAGGCAGGAGGATCACAAGTTCAAAGCCAGCCTCAGAAATGGTGAGGCATTAAGAAACTCAGTGAGACCCTGTCTCTAAATAAAATACAAAATAGGGCTGGGGATGTGGCTCAGTGGTCGAGTGACCCTGAGTTCAATCCCCAGTACCAAAAAAAAAAAAAAGTTATTAGAGCTATGGAAAGGGAGAAAAGTTACGTGGTGATAAGTAATCTACTTAGCATGGAAAAGCTGATTGTTCTCATTAAATCATATAAGAAAAGAATTGTATGTGAGTATGAAAGAGAAGAATTGTATGGAAGTATATAAAGAAGAGAAGAAGAGCAGAATCCAAACACTAATACTAATATTCTTCATTTGTAAAACAGAAAAGATATTCACTAAAAAAGTAAATATTTTAAAAAACATGTTTTTTTTTTTTTTTTTTTTTTTTGGTACTAAGGTGTCTTCTTCATTCTGAAACTTCTATTTCCAACTAAACTGAATGAGATCTTCATTTTATTTCCTGAGATATTAAAGGTAAGGAGCAATTCTGAAAAAGTTTGCAAATTATCCCATTGACTTATTACTACCTATATTCATTTATAAATATTTATAAATAAATGTTTATTATATATGTATGTACATATATATGTGTGTACCTATATATGGGTGGGTTTTTTTATATCATTGTTTTAAACATTTATTGAGCACATTCTTTTTGAAACATGTAAAGTCCTGAGAGGGAGTGGAGAGTTATATAACATAATCCCTGTGCTCAAAGATTTGTCACATTTGTTGGAGAAATAAAGCTTACGTGGCAGGTACAAATTTCAGGCTATGCCAAAAAAGGAAACTACTTTTTCCAATTTTCTTTGCTATTTCATCTCTTCCTAACACCAAATCTATTTTGAGAGAGACATTTAATCTTAGACTAAACTTGTCCTCCCTACTGCCCTCAGTTACTCAAAAAGCTTATACAATATCAATGAGTGGTCAGAAAGAGATTAATGTTGAATACTGTAAAGTTATCTGATGTTATTTTTAGGGAAGTATTTTGTCCAGTGTCTGTTGATCTTTTCTGGGTTTTATTTATTTGTTATTATGATTTGTGGTCTCTTGTTAAAATACAGATTAGGTTGAATGGACTTGGGCCAGAGCCCTGAATTTTTTGCATTTCTAACAATCTCCCATGAGAAACTTCTGATGTTGTTCTGGGTAGAGATTATGCTGAGCAGTCTATGAGGAATAATTCTCATACTAATCCCCTGCCATTGGTTGATGATAGCTTGTATTCTGTCTGCTTCTCTTGAACACAAGATGGATTCTAACCTGAGACTTTCCTCAATGGCATGAACTTTCCTTTCAAAAGGAACAAATAAGAAAAGTTGTCTCATGCTATGGAAAAAAACTTTTCATAGGCATGTATATGCTGAATAGGTATCTGTAATCTGTTTTCCTCATACTATATTGTTTGAGATGTTTTGATATCCAGTTTTATTGAAGGGAATCCAAAAAACATCTAAGCTAAACCCATTTCATCCCCTTCAAATTATTAAGCAAATAAATGGAAAAGTATAGGGTATCCTCTTTAGAACCTCACGGTAGTATATATTTATTACTCTTAAAATTATTTATAACTAGGGAATTTAATCTCTCCTTGGATAGTTGGTAAATGGGGTGGAAGGAACTAGATTCCTAGGTATTTTTACCATCTGTTTGTCCCACGTCCTTAGTCTTGGAGGCTCATAAACAAATAACTAAATTTTTTGTTCTATATGACCAATTGTATTTTCCATCATGTAAGCAAGAGAGTAAAATAATATTATTTTAAATGAGAAAGGGGTAAAAAGATAAAGTATCAGAAATAAAATTAAAACACATTTACTAATTCCTTACTTGCACAATGGCAAGACTAGATGCTCAAAAAACTCTATCTTGGTACTGGATAAATTTTAAAATATATTTTAATTTATGGCTGGACTTATGGGAAAGTAAAGAAATTATTCAGGAATCATAAAAGACCCAACACCATAAACCTACAGGAATGGAATATGATAATGGATCTGGACACCTAACACCTTGAATACATAGAGTTGTAAGTGTCTGAGTGGGTCTCCAAATAGAGGTCCTGCCAAGAATTTCCCCCTGGGAATTTCTTAATAGATTCATATTTATTTGAGATGAGAGTTGGAATGCAAATAATTTGTATAAAAACACACTCTTAAACTAAATTCAAAGCACTTTTGCAAAGTTTATAAAAACTAAAATAATCTCACCCAAGATGAACAACATCAAAGAATAAAAAAATAAAAAAGAAAGAAAATCACACAAAAAAGTAGATATAGGTATATGAATTTGTAGGTATAAAATGTATATAAACAGACATGAAAAATCTGAGGTGAAAAGAACAAATTACTTAAAAATATGAAAACTAAAGAAAACTTGTGAAATTCAAATGGGCCTATCACAAAGAAAGAAATTAAATCAATGGATTAAAATCTTCTTTTAGCCATTTCCTTCTCCCATATGCAGATAAAATAACAAATTCAAATACTTTTAGAATGGTGTTCTGAAAATTATCCAGGAAACTGATAATATTGGACTTCTCAAATATCTTCTTCATACAATAGAGAAAGAAGTACTTTTACCCTCCCAAGACTCCTAAAATTAAGATACTCCAGTAATGTAGAATGTATGCTATGGAGAGCTGAAGGAATTGAGCAAAGACAAGACAAAAAAAAAAAAAAGACCATGTGTGCTGCAACCAGCAAGGCCATGGAGGCAGAGCCCCACCAAGCTCTTGGACAGAATATCACAATGCCATGTGCCATTGATGGTGGACATGGAGCTGATGGACATGACTTGTTTTCCCAGCTGGATTTTAATCTTGCTTTGCTCTCAGTCCTTCTTCCTATGCTCCTATTTCTCCATTGTGGAATGGAAATGTTAACTCTCTGCCATTATATATTGGATAAATGTAACTCGCTTTTGATCTTGGTTCACATCCAAGAGTTTTCCTTGAGTCTCAGATAAGATCTTGGACTTGGACTTTTGAGAAACATTGGAATTGTTAAGACTATGGGGACTCTTGTAAATGGACGAATACGTTTTGCATGGTGAGATGGGCATGGGTTTGGGGGGTTAGGAGGAAGAATGTTGTAGTTGCATATGTGGTATCCCACCCTCACCACCAAAGGCTCTTGTGTGAGACAATGAAAGGATGTTCAAAGGTGAAATGATCAGATAAGGAGTGTTGTGACTGAATCAATGTACAAATCCACTGATGTAGATTAATTGGGTTGGTAACTTTAGGTGGGTAGTGTGGTTGGAGGAGGTGGGTCACAGGGGGAAGCATATCTTTGGGTTTATATCTTTTCTCTTGGTGAGCTGAGCTCTCTCTGCTTCCTAGTTGCCATGTCTGACACATGCTTCTGGCATGATGTTCTGTCTCACCTTGGACTCAGAGTTATGGAGTCAGCCAACTTCAGACTGAACCCCTGAAACTGTGAGCCAAAATAAATACTTCTTCCTGTCACATCTTTTAGTCACAGCAATAAAATGTAACCAAAACAATATATTAACAAGTAGAAGAAAAATGCTACATGATTATCTCAAATAGGAAGAAAATAATTTTAAGTAAATAGAACAGAATTCATGCTAACATTCTTGGAATATCAGAAATAATTAAGGTATTAAGAAAGTATTTGACCTGAGTAGCACTGGGAAAAAATCATATGGCACATTAAAAGCATTCCACTTACAATCAGGAGAACCTACCTAGTGCAATAAAAGAATTTTTAAAAAGACATTAAATAGGAAAATAAGAAATCAATATTCAAATTCAATACTCCAGTGTATGTATGTAGAAAACAATAAACTAGCTTTCCTTTGATATCTATGAAGCATTCCAGGACCTTTGTGGATAACAAAATGCACAGATACTCCAAGGCTATAAAATTGTATAGTATAACCTATGCATACTTGCTAGAAATATTTAGAATGCCTAATTAAATGCAAATGTCATGTAAGTACTTGTGATACTGAATTCTTTAGGTAATAATGTTAGGGACTATTCTGTACATATTCAGAACAGACATAATTTTTCCCCAAATATTTCCAACCACATTGGTTGAATCCTGAGATGTGGAAACCATAGCAGGTTAACTCTACATTAACAATGTGTATATAGACACACACACACACACACACACACACACACACAATTTACATTTGCAATTGATCATATATGTTACCTGGGAACAAATTTCACAAAGTATATGAGAGTTGACTTTGTAGCAAAATACAAATATTACTAGGATTCACTAAAGAAAACATCAGTAAATGAAGAGATTAGCATGATCAGCAATATATAATAAATGTACTAATTCTTCTGAAACCTTATGATAAGCATAACTTGTATATGTTAGTATTTTGGTAGACTGATTTCAAATTTATGGAAAAGAGAAAATAAAAAGGAGGAAAAATATTTATGGAGCTGAAGGTACTGCTCAGTCTTGGAGCTGTGTTTATCTCTACTACAGTGAAACCGTATTCATGCACAAATACACATATTCTTCTAAACAAGAAGAATTAGACGGAGGATATTTGTTCTTTCCAATTTCAAACCTATTATCAAGCTTTAATCATTAAGGCAACTGGTGTCAAACCAGAGTTAGAAAGAAAGAACAATGAGGCAGAATTCATATATCAGATTTCCAAAAAATCTGATGTGTGACAGCTTTGGCATTGCAACTTGCTTTGGCATTGGAAGTTGATGAAAAAATAATTAGCTACCTAATAAATGGTGCCAGAATAACTGAATATTCATCTGGGGAAATGACTGTGGATTATTACCTTTACCCTATTATTAAACTAGATTCCAAATGCATCAGTGTCTTAAAATGTGAAACGCAAAACTCTAAAGTTTTTAAAACAAAACATAGAGAAAAGCATCCCAACTACAACAGTTGAATAAACTGGTAAAATAATAAGCAACATCTAAATTTTGCTGTCTTAAAAGATCTTAGTTTCATTTTTCATTAAAGCTCTATGGTCTTTTAGATTTGCAGCTGCTCTACTCCATTAAGTCACTCTGGTTTCTAGGCAAAGGTTTCATTCATTTAATGATGCACCTTCTGGAATCCATGGATTCTTAAATTGCAGGGTCAATGAAAGAGAAGTTCATGGATACCACACATTTTCACTCTAAGCCTTCAATATAAAATCTTCTCATGGAAACTTTTTTTTTTTCTGAAGCTAATCACACGACTTCATTTGACTGCAAGTGAGCAAGGAGGTATATACTCTTCTACAAGTTCAGAGATAAAGGATGACCAAAGGTTAATGAGCACAAGGGATGTCTACTATAGTGATCTTGGTAGAGGACTTTACCAAGGGGACTAAGTAAGATACTTTGGTTTTGCTGAGGAACTCGGATGGGAGAACTCAAGGGAAGAGGGTTGACTGCACAGAAGGTATAGAGCTGCTTTGAAGCAAAAACTGAGATAAGAGGGGCCATTCAGGAAGGCAGTGCAATG